GCGTCCTGTATGTATGCATAAGCAAATGAGAATGTCTATACGGAGGGGTTGTTTTATATGTGTGACAATACATGTACACATTAGCGATCGGTACTGTCCAGGAGCATTAACATACACGCGTGCACGATCGCGAACATCAGCAAACAAGGAATAAGCCTTACCCGGCATATCATTCTCTCCGAAGATAGGAGCTAGCTGCGCAGCGTATAGGAGAGACTAGTAAGAGTACGACTATGTCGCCGCACAAGCTGCGCAGTGGACATAATCTTTGGTGCTGATGGCGCTATATTGAATCTCTATACGCATCGATCGATCGAATCGTGTACATCCGATGCTTCCCTAATGCCATTATATGACTCCGATCGCCGGAGTTGCTGCTGCTGCTGCTACTGCAGTTGCTCGTATGCACACACACACACACACACACACACATGCATTCGCGTCTCCGAAGCTCGGTGCATACACAGAGGGTACACGCGTGTAACTTTTAATCCCAACTGAGCGAATGAGGGATGATTACGAAACGTCGAGCGGAACGCCCGCGATTACATATATATACTCCGCCGCTCGGCAGTGTATATCTATAATCGGAGCCGATGTCCAACCAACCAGACGATGACTATACTTGAGTGCATTTTCGGTCCACTGAGCTGGATACTTCTATCATTTGTAGCTACTGAATGACGTGCACGCACGCAGTCTCAATCTATATCTTCCTCCCCCTTCTCGCCCCCTACAGTCACACTTGCGCGGATTATATCATTCGGAATGATACGTATGTCTCTTGCGTGTATCTGCGAGATTTTTTAGCAGCGCAAAAATAAAACCGTTGAAGTATTGATGAATTCATGAAGTAATTACATTGGCTCGGCGTTAAAATTTCTAGCTATTTTCGTTACACAGACCACGCGCGTTGAATTATAAACTCATTCATTTAATTATTAATCTCGCTCGGCACCTTTGCCATGTGGCAATATGTTCACAAAGTATCGAACAAGCGTAACAAAACAAAATAGGTTTTGAAATAACAAAAAAAAAGTATCAGCCAATAACCCGGTTTTTTGCGATACATCCTGGCGCACACGAGCGCTAAGCCGCGATCGACAGTATAAAATATAAATTTCCTAGAAAGCGAGATAAATCCATGACCGTGTGTGTGTGTATGTATGCCAGTGTGCGTGCGCGTGTGAGTGTTTGGGTGGGTGGCGCGAGCACAGAGCGAGAGTTACGTGATGCCTTCGAAGCACGAGATATCTCTTTTTCTCATCCCTTGTTACACGCAGGGTTGGAGCCAGGTTTGTTAAAAGCCCCGTGGGTCTGCCAATACAGCGGCTATGGCGTCCCTGTAACTAAAGTTAACAATTTGGCTGCGGCTCTTTTTCAGATGGCTTTTGCGAGTTTCAACAATTTTTAAGTCATGTATTTTTTGCTCTTCATTCGGAAGTACGCTTTACAAACTGCGGACTTTCACAAAAGAATGAATCCATAATGGTCAGCATCCACATTTTCTATTTTTAAAAAATATAGTATAGTCCACGCGTTAAAACCTTACAGTTTTTTCAAGATAATAACTTTGATGTAGTCAGTTTAGAATAATCTGATCAATGTAAGTCAATTGTAATACGTTTATAGTTTATCAAGAGTAAATTTTGAATATTTACCATGAACAACTTGTTAATAAAGTAGCTTAGGGGATCAATACTTACGTATAGCTTTTACGTATTAATACGTATTATTTTTTGTTAATAAAGCCTTTGAAAGATAAAATTGGCGGGAAAAATGAAAGAATCCATGAAATTTACTATTACTGTATAAATCGATAAATATTTATCAACGCAGCTATCGTTTATTGAGGAAAGTTCTGCACTCTCGGATCGTTTCGCAGCATATTTAATGTCGTAAAAGCGCATTCAAATTCCGCGTCACGATCTCGGAGGGGTACATAAGACGAACGCTTACCAGCTGACTGTTCGAACCACCACATCCTGGAGAGGAGCTTACACGCCTTCAGTCGCTTTAAGTACATGTATAACATATATAACTGGATCCGTGTGCAGCGAGGGTGGCACGGCTGTAAGTGAGTAGTATACCTTCTGACACATGTGCACTTTTCACGTACAGCATCAGCGTATCGCTCGAGCGGGCGGTGGCACCTCTGCAGCAGCGGCGGGAAAACCACTTGGGCGCAAGGCTGCGAGCTATATATTATGAGTCTGTCTATAAGGCGCGCATGCCACGGGGTTCTGTAAATCCCCAGACCATTTTCTTGAAATTACGAGAAGACGACGCCGCTTTTGCGGCTAGAGTGCAAAAAGCCTTGTTGGGTGATGCCTTATGGGAGCGCAGATATTAATATTTTTCCCTATCAAATTATCGATTCATTTTTTCGTGTAAAATGCTAATATTTAAATTATGCATTTAAAAATCCTGTTTAGCCAATGTAATTAATTGAAGTATATTTCTCTAAAGACTCAGCATCGAACAAGGAAAAAGACTGACAAATAACAAGAAAAGTTTCACTACAACTACCGAGAGTTCAAAGAATAAAAGCATTAAAAGAGGTAAAAACATGAATTATAATCAGAAAATAATCAAATTTTTCACTAACTAACGCTCGATCAAATTATTTTAGCATTTATCGATAATCGCCAGAATAGCTGAGGAAGGTACATGGGAGTTTTACCGATTCTGCAGAGCTGCTGCGCCCCTTGATGCAGCATCAACAGGCAAGAGGTCGTTTACCGAGGGTAGACGACCTTTACCCTCTGACAATCTCGAGTACAAGAGGTAAACCCGAGCAAAGTTCAAATCGATACAGGTGGGGCAGCAAACATCGGTCGGTAATGCAGCAGGGGTGAAACAGAACCAGAATTATCATCCCTTGAGAGGAGGAGGCTGTGTGTAGGTAAAGAAGAATTTATCTGTACGAAGAGGGTGAAATGTGTGCACGAAAGACAATATCATATTGAAATAATCTTTCATTTTGAGGCTTATTTACATATAAATATTAAGTTAGTTTGCTTTAAGTTATCTTTTTCTTTCTTATTACTGATGGACTTCAAAATCTCAAATGGAAAAAAATCAGTAATGATAAATAAGAAAATAATTCTTGAAAAATTATTTGTTATCAAATTACACATTAGAAAAAATTAACAAAGTTTGATGACATAATAAGCCAGAAAGCGTGCCAAATTCTGATTATTGCGGATGTAACGACGAAGTCCGTTTTGTACGATCGGCCAGGCGCATAAATTTAAACGATTTTGTGTACTCTAACACGGCGTAGATCGAAAACAAAAAATATCGATGTACCGGGAGTTGTAAAAGAAAGAGAGAGAAAGAGAGAAGGTAATATGAGCGAGTGCAGACATGCATCTAACACAAACTGCACAGATCCTCATACACGAGCGCGCATACAGTCGTATCGCAGAGTTGAACAGCCTCAATAGCGTCTCTGTCTTCACAGCGAGTGTTGCGGCTAACATTTGTCGAGAGCAGAGAGCTGTGTGCAGACGCGCGCGTGTATGTGAGCAGCGGCAGGATGATCTCTGAACGCGCTCCATATTACGACTGAGGAGGGGTGCAGGCAGTGCTGCTCTCGCTAGCTGCCTCCCTCTGCCTCTCTCTCTCTCTCTCTCTCTCTCTCTCACTCGCTCGCTCGCGCTTTCGTGGGCTAACGTCGGTCTCGCAGGTCTACGCGTGTGCAGGACACTATACCCGAAATTGCTCGTGCACGATGATCGACGACACGCGAATTAGCATCGTAATCACATTGGTACGGGCGCGTGGCCGCGCGAGCGACAGCCTGCTCGAATTAGTACAACGCGATTGTACCCTCTGAAAGCGTCCATATAAAGGCGTACACAGAGTGAGGAGAGTAGTAGACCAACAAATGCACGCGCGCACACTCACGCGGACGAATAATATACTGGCATGCGAATATACATTTATATATACACGCATAGAGCAATACGAATACTCGACAGTTCTGCACGCTACGTATAGTTCTAATTCTATAAATTTACAGTAGTGATTCGATTAAGATACATTCACGGCGTGTATGCTAAATCAATTAACGTCGGATACGTTTGAGGATAAAAGCCGAGTAAGCCAAGAGCCGCGCATTAACGTGTCTCTGCACGTGTATGTGTGCAATGTGTACATAAAAAGGATTGTCATTCCACGATATGTGCTTTCCAATGCTTTCGCTCGCGCCCAAAAAAAATATTTTCCTCCATTTTCGGTTCGTTCGCGGTTTACGTGTTTCAATATTGTAATTTATTCAGGCAGTATTCATTAGCAGATAGAAATATTCCATAGCTGGAGTATTACAGAAAATAGGGGAAAAAAATGAGGAAAATTTAACTTTGAAGTTTGGCTCGGCGAAATAAATTAGTTTCAAAAAAGTCCAGAAGCTGAATGCGCGGCTGTTTTCATTGAGTGCGGAAATGTAATTTTTCATGCAAAATAGAAAATTACTTTTAATTAAAAAATAAAACGCAGATATCTAGCTCGTTTCTACAAATGCGTAATACGTTTCCGTCTAATTTCCACGACATAACATCGCACTACATCAAGGCTCGAGTGATACTTGAGCTCAATTCATCCTATTAACGTATATAGTTGCATTACTAAAACGAGGAGATTGCAATTTCCAACATATATTTTGTGAGATGTAACATAAAGAAACAGGATATAATTAAATTGATAACAATCAGATTACGAAAAAAAATACATTTTTCAAAATGTAATATCTATGCTAAATATTGAATAAGCCTAATGTATAAATTATATTGTATTTTAGTATGTTTGATTCTCTTTTTTTATCGAATGACTGTCAGAATATTGAATTTTTATTTCTATGAAATGCCACAAGAAGTTTGTTTGCAAAAATATCTTAATATATCATACTATATAAAGACTGTTATAAATTTTTAGTCATGAACATAGTAAATAAAATCAAAATTATCATGCTAATGGTAATCAAAAAGCTTACATACCTGTAAGAAAAGTTTTTTATTGCTTTATTGATATGTTCTGCTCCTGAAACAAATAAGCCAATTCATGAAAATGTAAAGATACATTTTAAACAGGTTCGCATAAATTTTATTTACTTATTTATAAAAACAATTTATGAAATAAAGGTATCAAAAAAAGTAACTAGCATCAAATTTTAAGTAGTATGTTAATTTCTTGCTTTTCTGTTCCAGATGCATCAATTGAAAAGAACTACACCTTAATCGAGTCCTGAATATTATAGCTAGCAACAATGATTTGTAATGGTTAACTACATTAGTAAGCAATAATTTATACAACACTTATTAAAAATTTCTTTTAACTTAATATCAATCACGGTTCTTGATGATTACCTCATTTGTAAATAACAATTTGATCATAATCTTTATTTTTTCCACAAATATTTTCAAAAAACCTACAAATTTTTATTAGTTAATTTGTATAATAGATAATTCTAGCCTTTTTAGATGAAGACTATTGTAATGTTTCAAAAAATTTCAAATATACTAAGTGTATATTTAGTATATTATTAAGTAAGCGTTTAGTACATGGAAATGCTCATTTTAAATTATATCTTAAACTGCTACAACTATTTTACTCTCAAAATTATCAAAGCCACATAGAATTACCATAATAATTGTGCTTTTCGTCCTTGTTGATAAAGGGAATGTATTGTACATATCAATAGAATTAAATTATCAATTCAAACGTAGAATTGGTCATTTTAACTATATTGAGCTGTTAACATGTTCATCGACAAAGATATATTATAGTAAAATAATCTTAAACACAAATTATCTCTTAATAGTAATTTTTATAAAATTATATTTTGATCAGCTAAATTCACTGATATACTACATTTTCAGTTTTTGCCGCCGTGATGCAAAAATTCATCAAGCTTATAAATTGTGATAAATCAAGTAATAAAAAGAAATAGAAATGCTTTGAATACATCAGACATTAATTTTTTCATAGTATTGTCAATGTACAAATAGTATGTTGAAACTTGAATCATAATTTTTATGTATTGATAATCAGAGATAAACAGAGGTAAATTAAAAATTTTATATTTCTACCTTGTATAGATAATTCCTACACGATTAAAAATTTCATTAAAAGTTTTGCTAAACATTGTTAATAAATTTTTCAAATAATGCTATATTATTGGGTTCATTGACCTCAAGCTAAACTAAAATTTATTAGTTTCCTATTGAAGCAGGAGTAGAAGTTGTTAAAAACATCACAGTTAAAAAAAATCATTACAATTTCAAGTTGTATCACCAGTCTCTATTGTGTCAAGAAAGATCTGTCAAACCACCATACTTTCTCTTGATGAACCTACGCCCTCAAAACATGCATTAAAAGTTGTAGATTTGTTAAATCTCAATTTATAGCATTTGGAGATTAGAGAAAACAAAGTTTTTGAAATTATGAAAATCCTTACAACCGGATTCAGTTATAAAGGACATTTTGAAGGTTATACAGGCTGAGAGCATACAGGACACGGTGCTACGGAAAGATGTACAGATTTACACCACAAAAGAGCTACGACGAAATGAAGAGAGGAAAAGCATGGAAGAAAACGACTACATTACTAGACGAGGAAAACGACGTCGTCGACGATCTCCTCTGATGGTCTTCGTACGCGACGCTTTTCGATCGCAAGCACTCTGTCACATTGTAGTAGGCACTATATAGCATGGATACAAAGTATAGACCTCCCGTATACGTTTTGTACGTATATATACACACATAGAGCATGAGGAGCGGAGCAGAGGAGTACAACACGCTATCAGCAGCGAAAAACGTAACCATAGCAACCTGCTCTCTATCTCCTTCTCGCTCGCACGTTCCGAGTCGAAAGATACGGCGACGAGGCAGAGATTTTTAATTTACAGGCCAATATAACAGGTAAACTAGCGATACACTCATACACACATACACACTCGTATTATGTGTACGGCGAGCGTACACAAACAAAACATCGAGATACACGCGTCATCGCTCGACACTCCTATAACTGTGTTGCCGCTAGCTCCAAAACAATCGACAATCGAACACTCACTTAGCGAATTCGTCTCGAAGGTGGGCTTGCAGCAGTTTACATGGGCTCTGTGTACGTACGATCGCAGCAGTCATCTCTCTCTCTCTGTCTCGCGTGTTATATGTGTCAAGTCGCGAAAGCGGCGTGGTGCAAAAAATTCACCGACGATCGATCATCTCGATCTCGGTCTTCAAACTGTTCGCTCGTCGCTGAGACTTATGCACAAAAAAAACAATTGCCACTGCACACGAGACACTCGACGAACGTCGCTTTTCACTGTTAAACGTCAGCCCAGTCGGCGTACACTTATTACACGAGTATTATTATTGTATACAAGAGCGTATATAGCGGCTATACGTCGTCGAGGATCAACACTGAGCGGCCATGTTGCAGCTGAGCCGCCGTGCGCGATGCTGCTGCCAGCCTATGTGACACATACACACGCTCGCACACATACAGTAAACACACACCGAGAAGCGAGAGCTGTATGGAGTTTGCAGCACCACACGGAGTATAAGGACATGTATAGGCAGTGGCAATGCTATACAGTCTGTGCGTATATCTCGGCCTTTGACTGCGGGGGCGTTCTTATGTGTACAGCTATAGATTCAGCAGCGTGTACACACACATACAAAAACGTTGATCTCCGCGCGCGAGCGAGAGAGAGAAAGTACCAAACTGTACAGTTATACATATTGGCGAAAGACCGGCTCTCTCTCTCTCGAGTCTCGCTCGAGAGGCCGCTCGAAGCGCGCGCGATTAGTCGCGAGCAGTCGGTAACTTGGCGCTGGTAAGGTAGGATTGCGCGCTCAAACGTCGCAGTTATATTAGAGGCCACATACCAGTCGAGATGGCGAAAGTTGCATCGCTACGTCGGTTGGACTGTTGAAAGTGATCGAAAATGCCTTTATTTTGGGACCGTTGAGATAAAAGTTGAAGCTACGGACCGATTACCCGAGAAAGTGCAGTGTGAAGTTAACCTGTAAACGAAGCCCGATGCGGATCACTTTTCAAGATTTTCGATCTTGAAACCGCTTCGACGCCTTGCATTATCCATCAGAAAAGTACGTTACTAATAATAACATTGCATTGTGTACGGAGGAAACGTATACATTTTAATTGCGATTAAGATGTACAAATGGTATTTTGAGAATTTGCTCCAAACCAAATTTACGTTTTGAAACGCGTTCCAAAAATACGGTTATAACCCGATACATGATCGATCATTCTCGGCTAGATTTAATTAAAATTCGAATCTTCGTAGTCGAACGTCGTCGCGCGAATCGCTTGAATTCTTAACGTGCCTTCTAAATAATTAACCGAATTCGACTTGAACGGTGCTTTTTCCAGAACACATACCTATATACGTGTTGTATGCAGTACATCGTCGACTCGACACTCGAACTCTGCAGCAGATTCGCATTCGAAGACGCGTCGTCGAGCTGCCATTCACGCCTACGATAAAGTAAGTTGCACTGCACAATGCCACATTTCCAATTCGTCTGTTCAAACAAAGTAGACTGTATGTTTCGCCGGAATGACCGTTGCTCGCTCGAGTCAGTTTTTTTTTTACTTTTTTTTTGCGGAGCAGAATGTGCTTCTTCCTGAAATTGGCAACGGCCAGTACATCGTGTAGCAGCTTTGCTCGCTGAAATCGCTCACACGCGTATTTTCGTCTATCCTATTGATTTTTGGCCGCGCGTGTGCACCCTCGCACGTATATAATACCAATATATGACCTGTATTTCGATTGGGTACGTTTGTCCGTGTTTCTCTCTCCCTTACACACGTAAACAAGGCATAGCTGCACAGAGAGCAGTGCGTGGCAGAGAGATATCAAAGTTCTATAGTACAATGTATAGGGTAAAATAGCTGGTTTCCGCAAAACATTAGGCAATTTTTTTTTATTTTTGCTTCTCGCGGCTTTCTTATTCACTTTTAATACGTGAAAAATATAACATTCGATAGGAAAAACGATAACTTGTTACGCTATTTTCGGACATTGATGCTTTACCGTGTGATTTCCGTGTATTGATTTTAAATTTGGTATGAGGTCGTTAGATACTTCCATTCTCAACCGTATTAGCTACTTTCGTAGCTCGAATATTAAAAAAAGGACGAATTGTATAATAAGTTGCCGTTGCAGCGATCAAACTGTCCGATAACTGGAATTCAGAATTTTGACTTTCGTTCAGTTGCCGGAAACACTACATTCCACAGAACTATATTTTTTACTCATTAATAAATATCAACGTTCGAAAATTAATTTTCTCGAAAACGTTCATAATACATACAATTTTTTGTTTTATTCAAATCGATTGATTAGAAACGTTTTTATCATCGACATTAAACGTTGTGTTATTAATAACATGGCTTAACTCGCAGTGCCCTAAAACTAGCTGCGATGCCGAGGATCTGGCTATTTTCGCCTGTATTTAGTCAATGGGCGCGCGGTCAAAGATGAGTTATCGTCCTGTCGTCGGATTAAGTAAGCCGGGGCGCCAATGTAGTCGAGGGGATGATGGAGTATTGCTTATAATGAGTGGACACTGCTGGCGGCGCGCAACACGTACACGCCTTGTAACAGTTAATTGTTTTATTTTCAACGCGGCTATATAATATACGGACCGTGCAGTTTTCGGAACTATATAGTTGTATGAAATTTTAATGTCGTCCCCCTCCCCGACTAATCGCCGATAAAGCCACTGTTATCCCAAAGCCGTAAGTATTAACTAGCTCGACAGCGTTCATAGTACCGCAGCAGCTTACGGATCGTGTCATCGACGTCTTACACGCGCTGCATATAACTACACATACACATACAGACCCGAGCGTGCCACGAATGCATGTATTTATGTTCGTTAACTGCCACACACTAGGCCACGCTATATAGAACTTTTCAAATTAAGAATATATCGACTTGACCCGCAAATCTTATTTAATATGTAAATTTATTTCCTTCTCGCTCGTTTCTTGCCCACTAACATAAATACGTATAACGTGCTACACTTTGCGCACATGCGGAGTGCCGAGTAGTGCCCCTGCGCTGCTACCCTACCCTACTCCACTAGTAGTATCAAGTGTGCACGTGCGTGCGTGTGTGTGTGTGTGTGTGTGTGTGTGTGTGTGTGTGTGTGTGTCTGTGGCGCACAATATAGGTAGTGCTACGAGTTAGCGAGTCAAAACGTGACTTTGCATGCGGCTCTCCATGAGCATTGCACGTTATAATAATCACCCTATTCGCGGAGTGAAATCGAGAATACATGCATTATACGCTAATACGCCTAGACTGCGCGCGGATACTTTTATAATGCCCCAGCTCGGTATGTATAGGTACTGTATGTATAGCCGCGGTCGTCGGTCGCGGAGCTGCGTGTATTATGCTTGTTTCAAGCCACTCATTAAGATCTCTGCCCGCGCACTGATACTGTGTGTGCACTGGGCTTGCATATACACACACCATTTACCCTCTGCGAGAAATGACAGTTTATTAAAATTACAGATTGCTTCGATACTGTGTGCGACTATTTTTTTTTTCTCTTTCTATGGCGCACGCACGGGCATATTATAACTCTTTCGTGCGATTGTGTGTGCCGTGTACGTAGGTACGTTTGTGCCCTCACCCCGACTTATTCCGGGAAAATCGTCCGCATTTATATGTATCGCCTAGTTGTCGCGTATTTGCCTTTGTCGGATTTGCTTGTATACATAGACTATGTACACACAAATGGAGTCATGTAAATGTAACACATTCGCATCACGTTTGCAATTGTAATATAGCCTCGTTTGCTTGTTAGCGTACCAATTACTGCAGATTGATTATATAGAATATTAAATGACCCAGTCTGCCGGGCTCGCGGCTCTCTCTCTCTCTCTCTCTGTACAACGCATCGCGTATGTTATTATATGTATGTAGGTAAGCTCAAAGAGGGGAAGATCGAGCCCGCGGCCACTGTGACAAAATGAAACGAGCCGGCGAGGCCTCTTAATCAAGCTTCCTCTACCTCTCGACCTTTTAACTTTCCGAAATTAACAGTCTCGAAGGTATGTGTACGCATATCTGAGCTAAAAGCGTAGCGCGCGGCGCGTGCATACCGTGTAATGCGCGCACTTAGTTCTTGCCGCCCCGCTCGGCGAGAAGCGTAATCGCGATGTTCTTTAAGTTTCGTGGCTATTATCTGCACTCACACGTACACCCCCGTCCTACCTCCGCATACACACACACACATACTCACGCATAACTATATATACGAGCGCATTACCGCACACGAGTAGTACTTGTCTAGTGCAGCCGTCTTCGCTCTCGGCTTGGCAGCGCATATATAAGCTAGCTCCGCTACATATATCTATAATAGCCAGCAAAGTCCGCATGAAATTGCTTCTTAATGCGCAAAATCTTGCCCGAGATACTTGGCTCCGAACTAATAATATCCTATTAGCTCGAGGGACCGACTGGTGAGCCTCTATAGTAGAAAAAGAAGTATGCTATCTTTCGACCGCACAGATTTCAGTTCAATGGGGAACTTTCCAATTTTTCTAGCCTAGCCAGGCCGAAATGATTAAAATCATTTTGAACTAGATAAACTTACGCGCTCGATTTCATATACGTTTATACTATAGCCTAGCTCGAAATCAAGTTTCCAATTAAGCAACTTTAATTTATCATTCATTCCTGTTTCAACTATTTTTTTCCTTATTTTTTTCCTTATTTTTTTCCTTATTTTTTTCAGCGTATATTCAATCTATAATTTTTCTAAATGCTGATTTATTTACCATGCATCGACTGTATTGTCTATCAATTACTTTTGGCATCATTTTTCCCCCTTTGAAGCGGAATAATTTATTAACATTGAAAATTCTGAAGGCGAATCCAATTTTGTACTCTTTATAAGTCGATACCGTTCAATAATTGAAGAATTTGATACTCGAACCCATCCAATGTTTTTAATCCAAGTTTATCCTTGCTATTTGTTGCTTTACTTTAATGCAAAGTTAAACAGCGGCAGTAAATATTCTGTTACACAACAGAAATACGAGTTAGTTGAATTTCTCGGACAAACTTTGCGCAGAGGCGTTAATTCTCAATCGTGCAATTGTTTTGTTTACTCGGCGCGATTTTGCCTACGAGCGAGTTTTGTTAATTTATAAAATTCGAAAGTTTCATGAAGCTTTGATTCCGCCTTTTTTTTTCTTTCTCTTTATCGGATCCCATGGTAAACGTGTTGAATAAAAAGTTATTATACTCTTACACAAACACCATCGCGCCGATCCGCGCGCACAGAGAGTCGAAAGCGGCGAATCTTAGTAAACGACCACGGGCTTGCGAGATTTTCATTTGTCCCGTGGGAAATCAAACTTGTTTCTATCGTCCGCTTCTTTTTGGCCTTGCGCATTCGTCAATTTCGTTTTTCGTCCTCCCCTCCTTACCCCTATTCCATACCGACACGCGCAAAAGTCAATCGTATACTTATACACACAGTCACGATTCGCAGTAAGACCAACATGAGATTTTATGACTCCAGGGTAGAGAGAGAGAGAGAGAGAGAGAGAGAGAGAGAGAGAGAGAGAGGAAAAGAAAGAGAGATCAGCTTTTTTCTCTTTGTTAATACTAGCAAGATTGAAAATATACATTATAATATTTTTTCCCATCGTTATTTATTGCGGATTTTTCTTTTCCTTGTTGATACTACCCGAACGATCTGGTTCATTTTCTTCCGATTAAAGTAATGAAGTTGCAAGTGGAGAAAGCTATTCTTCGACCCCTCGCAAATACCCGGCAGACGATAAGAATTTACCGACAAAATGGTACATAGGAAGAAAAGGTCATCGGTTTTATGGCGCGAGTTGGTGTCACGTATAGACACTTCCGGCCAGGCCTTATCTCTACCGGCAGATGGACCATGGGCTACGCAGTAAGCTTCGAGTGCGTTCGCATTTTCGCAGTCATACGTCTGGAAAGGAAATTCCGTGCATATATGTAAACTTGGTTTTGCTCGCTATGTACTCGCGCGTGCATTTACGAATGTCAAGAAAAGCAATTCAAGTTTCGGAAAGACCAATGCAGCTCGGGCGCAGTAATTTACCCTCGGGCTCTGCGCGTGTATGCTCTCTCGGGTAATTCTCGAAATCGAAGAATTCTAATTGTTTTAGTTTTTGCTCGGATAAAATTTCTTGAAAATTTACGGCTCTCTCGAGTCTTACGGGCGTGTTGCTGCTTGCGTATCCGTTTTTGAAAACGCGCGAGATTTGCAATGATAATTTAATTTCGTTCTTTTGAAAATTAGGTGTCATTTTCCGTGAAAAAAATAAAGAGAAGCTTCTATCCTCGACTTCTATCTCGTGCGACTCGCCGTGTGTGTCTGTGTGTATGTGTGTGTGCGTGGCGCGCGTGTGTGAAAAGGAACACCGCAAAGGAGCTGTGCCGTACGAGCTACTCTCGAGAGCTTCGGGGAGCGGCGCAGTCTGCCGCGCTGCTGGTAAAGAGCTAAAGCAGAAGTAGCAGGTAATTCTCCAGATTAATTACCACCACCACCAGCGCTAGTGGATTCCATACACATATTATGCTCTTTTTGAAAAAGGAAACACAAAGACTCGACGCGCGCTCGCAAGTGTGAATTTTTGAGAGAAGGTTTTGGCAGATGCAATATACCAGCAGTACGAGAGAAATGAGAGGCAGATAGAGAATGCCCCTCATATGCAATGCGTACGTATTATAAGTACGCGCTCGTATTTGTATGTATGTGCGTGCGCAAAGTACATAATTTATATTTTTCGGCATCCACATTATCCGAATACCTTCTGAATGCTTCATATATAGTTGAGTGCTCCTCGAATTAATGACTACTTGAATTTTTTAACCAACCCTGAGGAGTACAAATCCCTCTCTAAATCCATAAAATGTACACGCTTCAGGCTCGATTGACTATTTTTCCATGAGTGTATTGAACATTTTTTCATTTCACAGAACATTTTTTATTTCCAAATAAATATACCGATGATTCCAAATTGGCAAGTTGTCTTTAAAATCATTCTAGCCGAAATACTTCAATTAAATTTCTCAAGCTATTTTTTTTAAATAAATCAGAGTACCCGTAAAGTTCTCATTACGTTACCAATTCAATGTTCGATGATTTAATTGTACTGCCAAGTGTTCTGACTTTCCTTTATAATTCATATGCCAGCGCACAAGCATAAGAGAAAGCTGACTGCATCGTTCGCTTCGTGTGTTTCTCGTAAAAAAAATTTCGAAATTTCGACCACGTTTTTTTTAATTCTCTTGATAGTCCGTACATTGCATGTACGCAGTCAGTCCAAGTCAAGACGCCAACTAGTAGGCATAAGAGAAAGCTGACTGCATCGTTCGCTTCGTGTGATTCTCGTAAAAAAAATTTCGAAATTTCGACTACGTTTTTTTGAGTTCTCTTCATAGATCGTACAGTACATGTGCGCAGTCAGTCCTAGTTAAATCGCCAACGCACAAGCATCAAAGGTTACTGACTGCCTCGACGGCTTCGTGTGATTCTCGTAAAAAAAATCTCTCGTAATTTCCACCTCGTGTTTTTAAGTTCTCTTCATAGATCGTAGAGTACATGTGCAGAGTCAGTCCTAGTTAAATCGCCTACGCATAAGCATCAGAGGTTATACTGACTGCATCGACGGCTTCGTGTGATTCTCGGGAAAAAATCTCTCGTAATTTCCACCACGTGTTCCGAGTTCTGTTCATACAGCAAGTAGTTCTCACAAAAAGTAACTTTTTTTTTAATTTTATTACGATTGTGAATCGTGCGTGAGTGCGCTGAACGATAGACATGTCTTCCGACGACCAATCCGCTGAAAGTTTCCACGGCGAAGACGATTTTAATAAAAAAAAATTAGAAAGTTTGAAGAATTTACGTGAAAATATCAATTGGAAGGTTAGAAAAGAGCGTAACGAATTGCTCTTTCAACTTTATCCCTTAATCAGTGATTGGACAATTGGACATTCAGATCTTCGTAGCATTTTTCGACCCAAAGAAATCAACTGGCTTCTCATTGAGGAGGTGAAGAATCTGAACGAGTTCTTCAATTATATAACTGAACGTCAATTGATCACCAGAAATTATGATGAAACTAGATATCAATGGAAACTCCTCGACTTTGTGAACAAAACCGGCTACAAGGACGTGCCCGAAGTTAACAGAGATGGCAAACCACTATTGCGTCGCACCACACCACTGCATCATGTGTCTCGATTCAACAACTGGACCAAACTTCGTCATATACTTCGAGATCGAAGGATCATTCCTATCATCCGTAAACTTTTTAACATTTACAACAGATTTGACTTGAATTACGCCGACGATTTGGGATGTACACATTTCCACGTGGCCTGTGAGTATGGTTTGAAAGACGTCGTCCAAAAATTCCTCGAGCTCGGCCAGGATCCTAATCTCCTCGTGCAAAAAACGGGTAATTCCCCACTGTACTTGGCTCTGAGCCACAACAAAAGAGAAGTGTCGCGATTGTTGCTAAAACACGGCGCCGATCCTAACGTAGCCAACAAAGACGGAAGAACAGCTCTGCATGTTCTCGGCGAGAATTACTGGAATTCACCGAATATGGAAATGATATTCGAGCTCAAGAAAAAATGTAAGCCAGGACAAGTTGATGCCCGAGACAAGTCGGGCAACACACCATTGCACTTGGCTGTGCCATCTCTCTTTACCCATGTAAAACACGTAGTCCAAGCGTTGCTGGAGATAGGCGCCAACCCGAATGTGGCTAACAACGAGGGATTAACTCCTATGCATATTATTTGCAAAAGACATTGTAATGATGGTTTGTGGGAGTTATTCTGGAATATCAGCGATGACATGAAGCGGCCGGTGCAGCTCGACGTCCGGGACAAGTCGGGTAATACACCATTGCACTATGCTCTGAAGTACAAAGACCACAATGTAATCAAATTGCTGCTGAGAAACGGCGCCGATCCGAATGCGGTTAACGAGGAGGGACTGACTCCTCTGCACATTATTTCCAAGACTGACTACTTCTGGAACTGGGCAAAAATGTTCACCAATAAAGAATTCAATCCGCTGGTGCAGGTTGACGCTCGAGACAAATTAGGCCGGACACCACTACAATTGGCCGTGGCAAATCTCTTGCCGAATATGGTCGATGTCCTCTTGGATAATGGCGCTGATTTGTCCAGCTTCGTTTTCCCCACCGAGGATTACTTCGCTGAGAAATTAGAACCATTGGAAATCTATGGGAGACGTGAAAAGACGCCTAATTTTAAATTGAGAATTGCATCTCGTGCTATGGCCGTCATCGAGTGTCTTGAGAATAGAGGATACGAAGTAGACCGAAGTAACGCCCTGACGGTCATGAAATTTTTCGCAGACTATGAATTGTTCGACAAGTCGGCGGATCTTGAAGCATGCGACGGCGCAAAATTGATGAAAAAAGTGAAAAAAACGAAGAAAATAAAGATATTGCCAAAAAAACAGTCATCTCTGTACGACCTAATACGGTTACGACCCGAAGAGCTGGCAAAATCAATCACATTAAAGGACTTGAAACTCTTTGCGGGCTATAGCAAATTATGTAAGCTTCCCAAAAAGCTTAGCGAAGCTTGTGTTTTGCATCTTTGCGAGATGATATCGAGAATGTTTTTTCGAAGTTGGGCAACGATATCTTTCTTGGACTTGACACGTTGCAAGTTTCCGGTTCTCTGCTGTGAAAAAATCATCGAGAATTTGAAGAACGAAGACTACTATCGTATTTGTTTGGCGGATTCTTTACAAAGCTCGTGATGTCAATAAGCATATTTGCAGTTATTTAATGTTATATCATAATGTTATAATATCCATCATCAATCATTCAAATAAATAAATTTAAAAAATAAGTTTCAATTTTTTTATTCATCAGCATACGATCATTCGAAGTAAAAAATTTCAAATCATGCATTCATTACCATGACGGCATCGTATGCAAGCTCGTTCGTATCGAGAGAGAGAGAGAGACGAAAATGACTCCCAAAGTTTCGATCGAAAAGTCCATTAAGAAGGACGAGTAGGTAGCGCGGATAAGAAGGTCAAGAGGAAGTCGGACAAAGAGAGCCTCGGCATCTACCTCTATAAGGACCTGAAGCAGGTTCACGCCTACTCGAATAAGTCGACCATCACATCTCGGGAGATCCAGATGGCTGTCGGACCTCTGCTCCTAGGAGAGCTGGTCAAGCACGTGATCAGCGAAGGGACTAAATTCGTCACGGTTTGTTGATAAGTTATAAATTATAACAAAGGAGTTATGTTATGAAAATAAAACTTGAATAATTGCTCAAGATAAAAAGTATGAAATCTTGTTTGAAAACAAATTTATAAACGAATTAATTAATGCAGCGGTTTTCTTAAAATATAAGTTTCAACATGAGCGATTTAAGGGACTTGAGATACTTGAAAACATTTAACCCGTTAACGCCGAGACGGACAGAATTTTTTTCTTTATGATTTTATACGATAATGCGCTGTCAATGAGCGAGCTTTGATTGTTCAACGATCGTCAAATTGAAAATTCTCCGAATCGATCCGTTAAGCTGACAGCCGCTAACAGCTGACTTACCTGAAAACTAATCGATGAATCTTTTTAAAACTCAACAATCAAGGTAATACCCCAAAATATTACGACTTTCGAAACAAAAAAAAAAACAAACAATTATCCTTTTTGGAATCAGATTTATTAAAAAATTACCTTATAAAAGTACGTCAGCGTTTTGGTGGGCCTTGCTATCATCTTCAATACAGTATGTGCGTAGTGATCGTATCGACGACGTGTCAACGATATCAATTATTTAAATTTGGTTTTCAGTAGCTCCCATTACTTATTGATTTAAAATTAGAATTTCTTTTGATTTTTTCATTTTATGCAAGTAATGATGATGGTAATTTTTCTATCTAGCATAAACTCATCATTTATAAGTAGATACTTTGAAAACGGTTCAACATTTGTTGAAAGCTCAATGATATAAATACTTATACACGCATATCATGTACAGTTAAATCTCAGCTATTTCACTTGCTAAGCTCTTTGTTGAGGCTTGGTATTATGAGTACGTGACTGAACTAAGAGTTAAGTCGATGAGAATGAATTAAAAATATGAAACATTGAATTTTAAAACTATAATAGCAGATTTGTACATTGAAACGTAAAATAATAGTAATGAAACACGTGAGATTATCTCGTACGTATGTTTATTGCCTGAAGTTGAGCTTTAACGTTTTGATATCATTGAAATCCAAAACGAGAGTGGACTTATATGAATATGTGCAATAAACGTGGCCAGGAAGAGCTTGACTCCACTAGCGATGAGCTTTATGCAAAAGCGTTGCGTACTTCTACTACACGTGATATTTACTTTTTTTTGCCAAAGTAATATTATGTTCGTAATGTGTTCTATCCAATGATTTAAACTCTATATTTTAAAAGGAATGCTTATTCTAGTAATATTTTTACAATTTAATATTTTCGACAGTGAAAAACAAAAAAATTTATAATAAGAAGAGGAACAGTAAGCTATAATGGATTAAATTTTTGACGATATTTAAGTGACAATAATGTTACTATTATCAAGAGCATTTAAAATAACTTAGAATGATAATTTATCTATTTCAAACAATTTAGACCAGTTTTTAACGCCTTTAATACGAAAATACTTGCTTAAGACTCCCCCCAGTAAATTGCGAATACCTATATTTTAATATGTAAATTAGCAAATAGCAAAGTAAAAATAATTGAACCAGTCAAAGCATGGTTTTGAAAAAAATTGATAATCGTACAGCAAGTAAAAGTACTAACAATATACTAACGACATAAAATTAAAATTATCAAATTCAATTCTATTGAGGTTTTACATTTCAACTGTATATAATTAGAAATATCTATGGAATATGTGTTTCAATTGTAATTCACGTGAATTTTATAGTCAAAAAATTATGATTCATAAACGTGAAACATTTTATGGCTATAATATATTGGAAAAAATGTTACACGTTTGGATATGTATCCAATTTAAATGTTCTTTTTATGCCTATAAAACTTTTTTTGGTCAAAAACAGCTTTGGCAACAAAATAAATCAGGCTTCCACACTGAATATTCTGCCATTCATGGAATGTATATATAACTTTATGAAGCAAAGCAAAAATCTAGTTAGACTCACAGATTTGGGTTATTTAACAAAATAACTCAAAGTTCATGATTGGAATTTTGCATTTCATTTACGAGGTTTAGCTTTCTGTGTAATCCAGTGATTTTTATTTTATTTACATTTTTATTTGGAATCCAAAACTAATTTCATAACTTGGAATTTAAATCTTGGATATAAAATTCGATTACAAGTTTTGTACAAATACAATAGTGAGCTCGTTGCGACACTGAGAGAAAAATTAATTTAATAAACATTCACATTAGATCATTGCAATATTTAGTTATAGTGCGTGTGGGTTATAACAACATGCTAGTCTACGCATCGCTCGCTTGCATACAGAGTGAACATGAATTAGTACCCAAAGACTTATGATGATTTCACTCGTCAGATCTGATTTGAAGTCTCCGAAGTCAAATTCGTCGCTGTTTTTGATGAATCGTAACTTTTTTCAGTTTAAATTTTTGTAGTTGTTTTAAATTTGTCCGAACCATAAAATAAATGTATGATATTTTCGTTTCGTCAATTTTTTAGGCGCTTAATTGTACTTGAAGAGTTTAAGAGCAAATTAGACGGTGCTTTGATCAATTGATGATCGTAGATACACATTCGACAATCCCTTGCTTATGTACACTTTTCGAGCGAAAATTGGTCGAGAATACAATCAGACTTGAATACAACTAAGTGTGACCGTAGAGAAAGAGGGAGAGAGAGATGTGGGGGGGGGGGNGGGGGGGGGGGGGGGGTAGCGAGCGAGCAAATAAGGCAACGACAGACTGCAGTGCGAGAGTAAATAGATTTCATGTGGCAGAGCGCGTATTCTATTCGGCGATTCAGCTGCTTGCCTTTGAAACCATCATCCAATTTTCGACTCTCTTGGGCAGAAGGAAGTCGTCGTCGAAACGCTTCGAGCGTCGAGCGAGCGTATAAGGGAAATAGAGAAATAAAAAAGGCGTGTGAACTATTTGAAAATTGGCCAGAGGCTGCAGCAGAAGCATTCATGTGCTTTTCGCTAAAAACTTTTTTCCACTCGACTTCGATTGCAGATAGAATAAGGGACGAGAAGAACGAGAAGAAGAGAGAGAGAGAGAGAAGGAGCAAAAAAAGGGGGGACGTGAAAAAGTTTATCGGAAAACTCGATGAAAAATTTATCGAACGTTCCTGTACTGTTTTTGCATTGTCGTCCTTTTCGTTCGAGATAATCGAAGCTTTCCCGACGAATCAATTCGATTACTTCGTAATTTTAATACAACGCTTGAACGGCGTGTGAGTATTTCTTGTCTGTTTAGTTATTCATGCACGTCAATTTGACGCAGTCCGTCATGATTAAATAATTCATGAACGTCGTGTTCAACGCCAACGAGCCTCGACCCAAACTTTATTTCACGTTAAAGTTGTTACACCGGCGCGCACACTTTGGCTAAGCGGTATTAGACCACGGCATACATGAATGTGCAGCGCAAAAAAATATGAGTGACGTGTATGAAAAAAAGAGGGAGCGCGAGAGAGAGAGAGAGAATAGACAAAAGCCAGCTGAGAAAAAAATTGAAATTTAATAATTTCCACCAAACTTCGGGATGTGTACGGAGGGGAGATGAAAATTTAGTGATGATGGAATTTGCTTACGTGATTCTATATCGGCACGCGAAGGTTATTGGGTTTTCATCTTGTTTTGAGCGCGTTATGCGCGCGTGTTCGTGTACACTCGTACTGCTCATAAAAATATCCATTGTTTGGCGCGAGCGTGAGGGGGGTAGTCCCTTAACGGTTTCGAGTTGTAGTACTTGCGAGCGCACTCTTTACATGCAGAAGCAAAAAAAAGGTTAAAAGAAGGAAAAGATAGAAGAGAACTTGCGAGCGTTAAAAGTGTGCTAAAGTGAAAGTGATTCAAAGAAGAAAAACAGAAGAGCGAGAGGGCTGGCAACGGGCGAGTTGAAAAGGAAACGGGAGCAAGACGGGGGAAAAATTACGGAAGGAAGTGGCACGAGATGAGAACCTTTTTTTTAAAGACGCGGTGGATATAAAATATCAGATTTCATCTTTATACCTTCCCTCGTTGTTGTGTTGCTGTCTCCGCTTACTTCGGGAAAGTATGCGTTTTACGTCTGCGAAAAGTAAGAGCAACTGTCGATTGTTTTCGACTTGCTGCAGTCGCGCGTGCTTTTTGAGTTATATATGCCAGAATCATTGTGAATGAGATCAAAGCTGACGAGAAATTATTCAATGATAAGCTTCTTTGTACGAAAATACAAACCATTGCCCTTTTGTCGAATTCCCAGAAACAATATACAGTAGCGCCTTGAGTGCAAATTGTAATGTAAGAAACGAAATGCAGATGACTAGGTATCTTCGCCTGGCTTGAAGCTCACATATCCATCATCTCTGAAAAGGGATTATACTAACATGGCAGAAGGGAGGAATGTAACTTCTTGGTTTTTTTTATTCGTTGTTTGTTTTTGTTTTGTTTCGTCGACTCGCTTAACAATCGTTTTGTTTCTCTTACATTCAACAAGCTGGGTACTGTCGAATTGCTTTTTATTTCATTTTTCAAAATGAGTGTAAAATATTCTACCCTCGCGAAGCTTAATTTCATTAACGCGTATAAATGAATTACGATGCTTCATTGTATTACTTATTCCCGTGAGCAGTACATAGCACGAATCAAGACAAATTTGATGGATGCCTTGTAAATTATTCACGTGCGTTAAATATCGATCCGCAATGTTGATTTAAGCAATGAGTTGTTCTATTATTTTTTTTCCGCGCTCTCCATGTGTGCAGGTCCCGCTATTCATAAGAGGTAATAGCAAGATTTATGTTTTGACTGGCACATTCAACTTTTGCGCGTAGAAATTCGCGCCACAAATCATCGAGTCTTATCTACACGTTTGTACTTTTTTTGTTATTGTTGTATGTGTGTGGCGCGCGTATACACACACAATGAGCTATTGGCTCATGCAATTTTTCTTTTTAACGTATTTTCCCCGTGTAACGATGACCTATAGAGGTTGCACTGTAATATCCTCTCAACGGGTATGAATCGTCTTGCCGCAAAGAGCAAAAGTATAAATAAAATTTTCG